CATGGAGACACTTAAGGGAACCAGTCTACTTGACGGTCAGAGAATCCCTCCTGACTGGTCCCACAGTGTGCAGGCAGGGGACAGTGGTCAGGACAGAGATGTAAGACTTATGCTAAGCACTATCGCTATACAGAGACATCGCTCACATAGTGACGCTATACAGAGACATCGCTCACATAGTGACGCTATACAGAGACATCGCTCACATAGTGACGCTTGTAACGGCACCCCCAGGCATAAAAGGGGTTAACAGCCGTTTAGGAGATATTCCCTTCCAGATATACAGGCAGCTACTGTAGACACCAATCCACCGAACCGGAGAAGCATTCGAATGCTCTCAAACATACGAATGCTGTAAACAGCCGAATAGGAAAAACCATACGAATAGGTTTACACTCCTAGCAGGCGAACTGGAACAGCATACAATAAATCCCCCACCCAAAAACGAGGCAAGGCTCCGTTTTGTGGGTCAAGCAGGAACAGATTTACTGGGGCTACCTGCCCGGCTTTTATGCAGGTCTCCCACCTGGTGGACACCCACCTAGGGGACCAGATGGAAGACTGGGAAACATATTGGACATTGACCGATCACAACCTTACAATCCCACAATGCATCACAATCCCTCCTCTCTGCCCTGGAGATAATTAGGAAGTAATCCAATTATCTCCAAGGACAGAGGCAAAACTCCATTAAACACATGGCAGACAAAGGACAATAAAAGACATAAAATTACAAACGGTTACATTTATCACATAGAACATACACATTCTACCTATCCCCAGATAGCTTAGATCTGAGTGCACATTATTACCGGATGGCGCCCAGATCACATACATACAGTTCAATAGCCATGGAGCCAAAGTCTTTCATACAGTCTTTCAGTATACGGCTGGGGTAGCATGGTTTTAACAGTCTGCAGAGAGTCACGAACCAGCCTTTCTGCAGTGAAGAACAGTGTTAAACATGGGGCCATAGTCCAGTGGCAGGAGGCGGGCGACCAGGCTCCTCCAGTGGTGAGGTTGGTTCCGCCACCACGCTACACAGAGACATTGCTCACATAGACATCGCTCACATAGTGACGCTATACAAACTCACTATATGCAGGGTGACACTATACAGCGACACTGATCACATGGTGACACTATACAGACTCACTATATACAGGGTGACGCTATACAGAGACAATGATCACATAGTGACACTATACAAACTCACTATATGCAGGGTGACACTATACAGAGACACTGATCACATGGTGACACTATACAGACTCACTATATGCAGGGTGACGCTATACAGAGACATTGAGTCTGTATAGTGTCACCATGTGATCAATGTCTCTGTATAGCGTCACCCTGTATATAGTGAGTCTGTATAGTGCCACCCTGTGATCAATGTCTCTGTATAGTGTCACCCTGTATATAGTGAGTCTGTATAGTGCCACCCTGTGATCAATGTCTCTGTATAGCGTCATCCTGTATATAGTGAGTCTGTATAGTGCCACCCTGTGATCAATGTCTCTGTATAGCGTCACCATGTGATCAGTGTCTCTGTATAGTGTCACCCTGTATATAGTGAGTCTGTATAGTGTCACCGGACCTGCTGCAAAGCCACTGCCGCAGAGAGATACTAGGAATGGCAGATGGATTACTGTAGGATCTGGTAGACTTAGAGTTGTGGATAAAAGGCGTTTTGCACAGTCTGTTGCTCTTCATAACTCATTTTCTGCACTTTCAGAGTGTAATGGTGTTGTGGAGAGAGGCACTGAGGCTAGTGGTTTTGTGGAGAGAGGCACTGAGGCTAGTGGTGTTGTGGAGAGAGGCACTGAGG